TGTCATGGGGATAGAAATTGTGCTCATTCCATAGCGTTGTTTCAGGGATTGAACGAGTTAATACTTTAAGTGCTTAAAGCAGTGCAGCAGAGGCTGCCAGAACCCACCATGTCCCTTGGAGATAGTTCTGCTTCCCTGTACCTGCCAGCGGCTTCCTGGACCTCTTTCCCTCACCCATCTCTTCCCACCCCCCACACCCTCTCTGCATGGGAATATGTTTAGCCCAAGCAGCAGCGGGTGGCAGCATTAATGCCCCAGGCACCCCTATCAGCCAATCAGGCCTGGGAGATGGTGGATAAGCACCACAGCCTCTGGGCTGCCCTGTGAAACTATTGGATTCCGAGGCATGTCCCTCACAGGCTCTCAGAGGGTGCCCGGGGGGTTTGAGCCCTGAGTGTCCACCGAAGCAGCTCCCTTCCCTATCTCTTCCCCTCTCTCACTGTTTCCTGGGATACTCTGCCAACTACGTTTCTTCTACCCATATCCTTGTCTTGGTGCCTAATCTTCTTTCGGAGGGACTCAAGTTAAGACAAGCAGATTCTTGGCCTAGCTGGCATGGCTCAGAGGTTGAGTGATGTTCTACAAACCAGGAGGTCATGGTTCGATTCCTGGTCAGGCCATATGCCCGGATTGGAGGCTTGATCCCCAATGTGGGGCATGCAGGAGGTGACCAATCAATGTTTCTATCTCATCAATGATGTCTCCATTTCTCCTTCTCCGAAATCAACTAAGAAAAAAAGAAAAGAAAAGAAAAGAAAAAAGAAAAGAAAAGCAGATCCTGGCATAAAGTTAAGTAAGTGCTCAATAAATGATTATTCCCTGCATATTGGCTGAGTACCAGGCATAGTGCTAACACTCTGCCTCAACTTCTTCATCCAGTATATTGAAATAATGTTAGTATCCTCTTCATGGGTTGGCATGAAGATTAAATGACTAATTGTGCAAACCACATATCTGACAAAGCACTCATTTCTAGCATATATAAACAACTCCACATTAATACTATTAATAATAATACTACAGATACAGCCACTATGGAGAACAGTATTAAAGTTCCACTTCCAAAAAAAATGAAGACACTAACTTGAAAGATATCTGCACCCCTATGTTGATTCCAGCATTATTTACGATAACCAAGATATGGAAATAACCTAAATGTCTATCATTAAAGAAAATGTGGTACACATAAACCATAGAATACTACTCAGCCATAAAAAAGAAGGGAATCCTTCCATTGGCAACAATGTGAATGGACCTTGAAGGTATGCTGAGAAAAGTCAGACAGAGAAAGAAAAATATGTATAATTTCTGTTTAATTTCACTTTATATGTGGAATCTAAAGAAAAACAAAACAAAAAAACAAGCTCACAGATACAGAGAACAGAGTAATGGTTGCCAGAGATGGGGGGTGGGGGATGGGTGTAATGGATGAAAGCACAAACTTCCCGTTATAAAATAAGCTGCAGAGATTTAATGTATAGCATGATGACTATCCTATGTAATAAAAGGCTAGTATGCTAATAGACAAAATGGCAGAATGACTTGTATAAGCTATGATGTGCACTGACCACTATGGATGCTCAATGCAGGAGTTGCCTCCTGGTGGTCAGTGTGCTCCCACAGGGGGAGTGCCAGTCAGCCAGAAGTTGGGGTCACGGCTGGCGAGAGCAGCCATGGTGGTGGGATCCTCTCCCACCTCCACAGCAGTGCTAAGGATGTCTGACTGACAGCTTAGCATGTTCCCCATGGACATCCTCCTGGGCTCTCACACTGCAAGAGGGTGCAAGCCTGGCTGAGGGACTGTCCCTTGCGCCCCTCACACACACACCCTCCTCCCCCCGCACACCTTTAGTAGTTAATAATATTGTACTGCATATTTAAAAGTTGTTAAGAGACCAGGTCTTAAAATTTTTTATTACTAGAAAAAACTCATTCTATAATTCTGTATGGTGATGGATGTTAACTAGTTTTACTATGTTGATCATTTCACAATATATACAAATATTGAATCCTTATGTTGTATACCTAAAACTAATGTTTTATGTTAATTATATCTCAATTTAAAAAACCCAGACAAAATATCCAATTAGAAAGTGGGCAAATGACATGAAGAGACATTTTAACAAAGAGGATATACAGATGGCAAATAAGCATGTGAAAAGATGTTCAACATCACCAGCTGTTAGGAACATGCAAAATAAGACCATGATGAGATGTCACTACGCACCTACTAAAACAGATAAAATAAACAATATTGATAACACCAAATGCTGGTGAAGATGTGGAGAAACTGAAATATTCATACATTGCTCATGGGAGAGTAAAATGGTACAGCCAACGTGGAAAAAAGTTGGCTCTTTCTTTAAAAAACTAAACATGAACTAACCATCTTAATCAACAATTGCACCCCTGGGCCTTTATCTCAGAAAAATGAAGACATGTTCACATTAAACCTATACGTGAATGTTTCTAGCATCTTTATTAGCAATAGTCCCAAGCTGGAAATAACCTGGATGTCCTTCAATGGCTAAATCATGGTACATCCGTTCCATGGAACCTTAGTCAGCAATAACAAGTTGATGAACTCTTGACACACACAACAACTTGGATGGATTATGCTGAGTGAAAAAATTCCAATTTCACAAGGTCACATACTGTGCCATTCCATTTAGATAACTCTGTTGAAATAAAATTATACAGATGGAAAACATATTAATGGTATCCAGGAATTAAGAATGGTAGAAGAGAGAGAGGTGGGTGCAACTATAAAGGGATGGCATTAGGGAGATCTTTGGGGAGATAAAATATATCTGTATCTTGCTTGTGGTGGTGGTAATACAAATCTAAACAAGTGATAAAACTATGCAGACGATATTCAGACATCATCATGCCAGTGTCAGTTTCCTGGTTTTGATACTGTGCCATAACTACATAAGATGTAACCATTGGAGACAACTGAATATAGGCTACAAGAGATCTCTGTACTATTGTATAACTTCGTGCAAAACTATAACTTAAATGAGCTACTTGTAAAGAGTTTATCCTAAGTAAGCAATTAATCATTGTTAGCTCTCATTATTATTATTTTATTGTCATTACTAGAGGCCAGGTGCATGAATTCATGCACAGGTGAGGTCTGGCCAGCCTGCCCTCATGGGGGCCAATTGGGGCTGGGCTGATGGGAGAGGGAGGGGCTACAGGAGGTCACCTGGCCCTGCCCCTGATTGGGGTTATGGGGAGGCAATTGGGAGTAGGGTCAGCAGGGGGAGGGACAGCATGTGGTTGGGGGTCCAATTGAGATCCCGATCAGGTCAGTTGGCCACTGCAGTGGGCCTCATAGTGATCGATTGTTCTGGTCATTCCCATTGTTCCAGCATTCTGGTCTCTTGGCATATATATATATATATATATATATATATATATATATATATATATGTATATATATATATTACTTCATACAAGTCATCTTCTTTAATGCTCACCATAAGCTTGTGAATAAAGGGGTTTCTTTTTTACCTCCATTTTACAAACTGGAATACTAAGACTCAGACGTATTAGATAACTTATCTAAGTTCACATATCAAGAAAGACCTAGTAATTGAAGCCAAAATCCATGAACTTTGTTCACATACATGCAGTAAGAGACCAGTAACTATATATATGTGTGTATATGTATGTATGTATGTATAATTTGACCTCATTGAGTTTCTTTTTTTATTTTATTTTCATTTTTTATTTTTTAATATATTTTATTGATTTTTTTATAGAGAGGAAGAGAGAGGGATAGAGAGCTAGAAACATCGATGAGAGAAACATCGACCTCTTGCACATCCCCTACTGGGCATGTGCCCGCAACCAATGTACAGGCTCATGACTGGAATCGAACCTGATACCTTTCAGTCCGCAGACTGACACTCTATCCACTGAGCCAAACCGGTTTTGGCATTGACCTCACTGAGTTTCTAACATAGTGAGGAAAGTAAAAGATTAATTCAAATCCAAGCAGAATGTCATACATATATAAGTTCTATGGGAGCACAGGTGAGAGAGGAGTAAAAATATTCCAACCAAGGAGACCTAGCTAGGTTTCCTGGATGAGGTGGCATTTGGGATTTATTTTTTGAAGTAGGAGCCCAGTAGGGGTATAAGGGGGTATAAGAAAAGGCATTTCAAGTGCAGAAAACTTGGTCATTTATGAATGGGAGTACTTGGAGAACAGTGACAAGCCCAAGGTGGTTGAAACAACTGTATGTGACTAAAGGCAGACACAAATTAAGGAGAAGCAAAGGGCAATCAATGAAGATGGGCTCTGGGTGACAGACTGGGGATTGGGTTCATTCTCCCAGCTTTGGTTCACTGTGTCCCCTGAAGCCATGGAAGCCAAAAGGCCAACGTCTAAGTGAATGTGCAATGAAACTAAACATAACAAGGGGCCAGCCTTCTGTTTATACCAAAAAAGCTGGACAGAGCTCCACCATGGGCTCTGAGGTCTCAGGAAGCAAGGAGCTCTCCCATTTCAGGACCACAGGGTAATGTTTTCCAGGGTCCCCCCCCTAACCCCCAAACCCAGTGCTTGTAGACCCTGGAGGCAAACCCCTGCCTCCTGTGAGGTTAGGGCCTGCAACAGTTACATTGGGCTTTGGAATTTTACCTGTCAATAGTAAGTCATGAACCCCATCACACTTGTACTTTTTTATCTTCCCTCCCTCTTTGCAGTCAGGACCTGCAGGGTCATGTCTGGGTCATTGCTGAATCAGCCCCATAGAGTTGTTCATATTTAATTCCACCTGATCGATCCAATATCAATTTATTGGGCACCTCTGCTAGGGTTTGGAGGGGAAAGACCAAGATGCAGTCCCTTAGTGAAAAAGAGAGACATCCACTCATAGTGAAATGACAGTGCTGACCATCTAAAGACAAAAGGATGCGAAACTACCCTGGACTGTGACTGGTGAAGGCGGTCACATCTGCATAACTTATCTTAACGAATGTGGAGGGGAAATCTCCTTCTTGATGAGACGGGGCACCATTGATCATGATGTCCAGAGATGGTTAATGGGGCCAAACTGGGGCACAGGTATGCTTCCATCACAGAAAATGGGTTGCAGGGGTGACAGTGAGACCTGTAACGTTTTGCTAATGTCTTGAGTGATAAAGGAATGCAACACAACCGCAACATTAGAAGATACTCAGGAATAATCATTTCAGATCCTTGGCCAAGAGAGCAAAGCACTTTCTGCTGCCCAGCCTCTGGAGCCCTTCAGTGAATTATTGTAGTTGAAGAAATTATATTGCAAAGATGCTAATAGGACACTTTATGAAGTATGTCCCCAGAATGTCTGTATTTAAGTGGAGATAAAAGCAGCCCAGCTGAGAAAATTGTATCAAGGCTGACAGGCAGAACAACTGTGGGTTAGATATGGGTTCTTAGGAAAAGGCCTATCTTGAAAATAAGTCATGACTCAAGTTGTGGAGGAACGAAGGTGACTTTGATGGGCAGTGGAATGAATCATCATCACATGTCAATTTTCTTAAATAGGAATTTCCCAACGTCACATGTGGAGGTCGCATTGGTCGACTTCAGGTCTTTGCAGACAGGGCTGTTGTTGGAATAACCTCTTCACCTCTCCATTCCAAACTCAGTTCTCCTTGACCAGACTGTCCCTGGGGCCTGGCTCAGCTGATGCTTTTGGAAAATGGATGTTGAGATGAGATGTAAAGGGAAGATTTTCCAGATGTATGCTCCAGCTTTGAAAGGAAGACTTAGATTAAAAGGAGCAGCTAAGAGGGACCTCAGAGGTCCTTTGGGACAACTGCTTTCAAGCTGGGGTTTTTAGAGCCTAGTGATTCTGTGGAGGTGCCTGGGGGGCTGAGAGACAGCCCTGGGAGGGGGGTTCTGAGGGCCTGGGCTCAGGGTATCTACCTGCTTCAGCAGAAGAGCTCAATGTGACCTTTCTTGCACATCAAAGTTCTAAGTATGTTGGAAGAAAGGCCCCATGGTTTTAGGTTTACAACCCACCAAGCTAGTCCAACACAATCGGTGTCGTCATTACAATTTTTTAACCTAGTGCTTTGCATGTGCCAGACACTGTTAAATCTTCACAGCCATGCTAAAAGTTAGGTACTATTATCACCCCCACTTCACATAGAAGACTTAGGTCCAGAGGTTGAGGAATTTGACCAAAGCATACAGATCATCGGTGATGAAGCCTGACGTTAAGCCCATGCACTGGCTCCTGAGCCCACACAATTTTCCACTGGAAAGTATTGAGGAAGGTGAGTCCCAGGGAGAGGCAGGGATTCGCCATAAGCCCCACTGTGATCTCAGGGCTTCTCCCTTCTGACAAACTCCTTCCCCCTCTCCTTCTTTGTCCTCATGTGCCTTCCAGAACCGACTCGGTGTGGCTTTAAATAGACCATCCCTTGGTTACCAAGCATCTGTGCGCCCACGCTGGGAGCAGCACAGAAGGAGCTGGGATGGCTGATAGGCTTCGGGGACGCCTGTTCTGAACGGAGTGAGGCCTCTCTCTCAGCCTGCAGTCTCAACTCCACCCTCTAAGCTAGATGATGTTGAATGCTTTGGCATGACATTCCAGGCCCTTCAGAGTCCGCACTCGGTCTCTGTCCAGCCTCACCTCACTTGCTCCTTTACTTACACTCTTACTGTTGCAAATACACATGCACCCTATTCCTTTGTCCATGATGTTTGCTCTGCTAAAATACCACTCCTGCCTTGTGAGCCTGGCATAGTCCTCCTCTGATGTCCCCTCTCTAGGGTCCGGACCTCTCTCCCAAGGCAGAATCAATCACACCCTCCCCAGACCCTCCTCCTCATAGCACACACTGCCCAGTATTCTAACCATTGATTTCACTACCTTGATTCAAAGACAAGCTGGTGGTCCCATTTTACTTTCCCCAAATCAGGACAATCCATGCTTTTCAATATTTCCTGTCTCCTGAGACACTGTTTTTGAATTGATAAAATATTTGGTAATCAATATCATAATAGGATCCAGGAAATACAGGACTTCTCTGTCTCCCTCCAGACTGAACTCACCCAGGTTGGGGGCCAGGAACACCTATCTATGGACCTTCAGTGGCCAGCACAGGGATGCATGGTGCTCATGGGCTGGATAGCACCCTTTGTGTCCAAGGCACCAGGGGGCCCTGCAAGGCTCTAAGTTCAGGGCATCCTAGAAGCCCAGGAGATCCACCAGCCATTGCCTGCTGCCCATTGAGTTCATGCCCTGGAGAGATACATGGGCAAGAATAGCAGACTTCAGCCGAAACCGGTTTGGCTCAATGGATAGAGCGTCGGCTTGGGGACTGAAGGGACCGGGTTCGATTCCGGTCAAGGGCATGTACCTTGGTTGAGGGCATATCCCCAGTGGGGGGTGTGCAAGAGGCAGCTGATCGATGACTCTCTCTCATCGATGTTTCTAACTCTCTATCTCTCTCCCATCCTCTCTGTACAAAAACAATAAAATATATTAAAAAAAAAAAAAAAAAAAAAAGAATAGCAGACTTCATTTCCCCATTGTGTTCGTCTGCTAGGGCTGCCATAGCAAGGTACCAAGAGTTGGGTGGCTTAAAGAACAGAAACTTATTTTCTCACAATTCTGGAAGCTGGAAATCCAAAATCAGCTGGGTTAGTTTCTCCTGAGGTCTCTCAGCTTGGCTTGTAGGTGGCCACCTTTTCCCTGTGTCCTCACATGACCTTTCTTTTGTGTGTGTATCTGTGCTCTAATTTCCTCTTCATATAAGGACACCTGAGTAATAATAGATTAGTGCCCACTCCAATGACCTCATTCATTTGAACTTGGTCACCTCTTTAAAGAACCTGTCTCCATATAGAGTCACAGTCTGAGGCACTGGGAGCTAGGCCTTCAGCATATACATTTTAGGGAGGAACAATTTGGCTCATAGCACCCCTTGAATGTTGACTAATCTCAGTGCAGTGGGAAGCACATCAACCTCAGATTCCAAACCACTCCTCACCTCATGCATTTCCCTCTCAGAAGAGCCACAGTTAGCTGATCAGTCCCTCGCTCTTAACTTTCTTGATCTCCAAGAGAGGTTTCCAGCATTCTTCTCCTGACTGGTATACCTCTTTCTGTCCTCACTTATTTAGTTTCCAGCTCTGATCATTTCCTTATCTAGACCTTCCAAACCAATGGCAGCTGTCCACCTCTTCTCCTCTTAGAGCCTCACCCCTATATAGGAAATACAGGCATCTTAGAATTGATAAGATCTCTCAAAAACATGCTCAGCACTGCTCTAAGGGCTGGGGATTCAGAGATAAAAACAGTGATAGGCTGTGTGGTGATAGATGTAATAGTACCCTAATCATTTAATCCTCAAAGACCTCAGTTTTGGTACATTTCCTTTTCTTTTGCAAATATTACCAATTTTTCATCAAAACTCATGTTCTTCCTTCCATAGTTTGTGGTTTTCCATGTGAACGGGCTTCCCAGCAAACAACTATAGTTCCCACCCTGCTTTGCATCTGGGTGTGACCATGTGACCCTACAAAGGAAATGTAAAAAGTGATGAGAGCCATTTCTGAGCTAAGGCTTTTATGAACTGGGTGAGCCTTTGCCACATTCTTTTCCATCGGCTGGATGCAGGTTAGTTCAAGGATCTAGAGGGGATGGTGAAGGAGCCTGGGTTCCAAAATCTTTGGGTGGAAGAAAGCCACTCACAAACCAGAAATGCCAACCTTGGACTTGTTTGTGAATGAGAAATAAGTTTCTATTGTGTCTCAGATAGTAGAGGGGGGGGGGGGGGCGTTGAGAGTATGTGCTGTGGGTGGAAATGGCCAGGGAGATATCAATGGAGGGAAAAGGAGAAATATGTAATACTTTAAACTATAAAGAATTTAAATTAAAATAAAATTTTTAAAAATATATTTTTTTTACTTTTTACAGAGAAGAAGGGAGAGGGATAGAGAGCTAGAAACATCAATGAGAGAGAAACATCAACTAGCTGCCTCCTGCACATACCCTACTGGGGATGTGCCCGCAACCAATGTACATGCCCTTGACCGGAATCAGACCTGGAACCTTTCAGTCCGCAGACCGATGCTCTATTCACTGAGCCAAACTGATTTGGCTAAAATAAAAATTTAACAATAAAAATTAAAAATTTTTATTGTGTCTAAGACTTTGTACATTTTAGGGTCTTTTTGTTATAGAAGCTTATGTTACTCTAATATAATTTTTAAGTAAGCTCTGCTGCTTCCCTTCAAAAGAGCTCTGTGATCAGCCCTCCCTCAAAGCCAGATGACTTTAGTGCAAACCACCAGGGTTTTCTATAAAAGGACTTTAAAATCCTGGAAATAAGCTTTCAAAATTTAAGAGAAAACTGTAAAACTTCCCTGAGAAATTCCCAAGCACCATATTCCTTTGCCTGGGAAATCAATCTGGGTCCAGGACAATTTTTTTAAGCAGCCATAAGTCCTTTTCTGGGTTTCAGCACCCGTGGCTGTGGCTCATGGAGGGAGCTGGCAGAGTGAGGACCACCTGGCAAAGAGAAATTAACAAGTAATGGAATTCCAGCCCCCCAGTTGAGTCAGCAGCATGACTCAGAGTGCTACAGAAATAAAGAAATCCCATTCATAAATTTTCCCTCGCCCCAGCTTAAGAGCTTTCAAAGTCATAAAGTCTACATAAAACCAGAAAACCTACAATTGTCCAATTAGAGGTTTTATCCAGGAAAACACACATTTTCAAAGTCACCGTTTGGTCCCCATGCCAGGACTGTAGCTGGGCTTGCTTGGCGTTCAGAGAACTCTGGGTTTTATAGACTTTCCAGTTCAATGAGACAGGACAGAGGCCTTCTCAGAGCCTCTAATCCCATGGTGTGGTCCATGAGAGGCCTAGAGACACCCAAAGCTAACCATTCCTAATGTGAGAATTCAAGAAAGGCTGGAATTGACTTAGACTAGCTCAGCTGGGAGGGAAGTAACCACTAAGTGCTTGCTATTTACTATTCTTGAGTTCCAGATGCTGTTCTAAATACATAGTGCGCGTTACTGCATTTTATCTTTTTAAAAAAAGTATATTTTATTGATTTTTTTTACAGAGAGGAAGAGCGAGGAATAGAGAGTTAGAAACACTGATGAGAGAGAAACAT